TACCATGCTGTTTAACTGCTACAGTTAAATTAAATATTAATTTTGTATAGATGACCAAATAGTTGTGCTTTCACTGAAGGGTGAGTTAATTCCTTGCGGGATCTCAGTGGCAGTGCTGACATGTCGCAGGCTATATTGATCTTTACGTGAATTCACTGAATAAATAATGGTTGCCATAGTAATTGAGGACTCATGACAAGCTGAGAAGCAGGGAAAATTCCAGATCGCTTCATGTTTCACGTTTGGCACATAACCACACCAATGTTGTATAAATTTGTTATCTACAATTTAAAAAGAAAATACAGAAGAAAGATAAAAGGTTTAGGTATCTACTTTTATTTACAGTACAATTTATATATCTGCACATAATAATTCATTTATTGGGGGAAACCTATATCATTGTAGACAGTAAATAGGGACCTTTGCTTTTATGTTGAAATAGACTGACCAAGTAAATCCAGTGGAAAAGAATGACTGATTTCAACTAACTGACTTCAATTGTTAGGTGCTATTTAGTATATTTAGATAAATGTTATCAGTCTGAACACATTTTAAGAAATGTGCCTATTTGTTGTACTTAAACAATACTCTCATATGCAACACTTGATCAGCTAATGTGGCCTGGAGGCTGGCCACACCCCTTTTATCACTGTGTGGACTTATCTTACTGTAAAGGGTGAGGCCACTAGTTTCGGGAGGGAATGGGTGAATAACCTCAGAAGCTCTATACTTGTGGCATAGTTGAATGACCCAGGTATAGAGGCTCCAAGACACCCCCCAAGAAAGTATGACCTGACATGCCTAAAGGTGCCTACTGTCTCATCAAACAGGATCTTTAGCATCATATTTGCGTTTATGTAAGCTTTAACGACTTTGGTGCCACAACCTATTTCCCTTTAAAGCAGAACTTTGACCTGAAAACATATATTTGCCAGGGTACCCAGAAAATGAACTATAATATAGCTTGTACATGTCTCACTTGCCAAAAAATTATTCTTTATGTAACATCTGTTTTCAAACCAACTGCTTGCTGCCCATATGCAGTGCACTGTACATTTGTATAAAGACTAAACAATTTTGTTGAGATTGTGGGATTCTTGTGAGCAAGATTTCTGTCACTAACAGACTTACCTACAAATGCAAAAGGAAGGTGCTGGCTGCCAGTAAAAGTTCAAGGTAATTGGCATACGCAACTGTGGAGATAGAAAGAGCACGAAGCTACAAAAAGGGAACAGCTCCTGACCTGTTCACCAACCGGAGTCCTAATAAAAACCTTATAATTTAAAGGGTTTCTAAACACTCCGTTTTTTTGCCTATATCTACTGCAAGCAAGCAGTAGATATAGGCAAAAAGTTTAAAAAAAACGCTTTAACAGCGGTTAAAACTTACCCTGTTTTCGCCGCGCGCTGCTGCCCGAGAATCCAAAACTGCTCGGGCCGCCGCAAAGCATCTTGGGGCGGGCGCATGCGCAGTTCGGGTTTTCGGCGGGGAGATGAGCAGAGATGCAAGGTAAGTCTATGGACGCATGCTGGATCGGAAGTGCCAGCAAACAGAGAGGAGTCAGCGCTGGATCGGAGAGCCGCCGCACCGCTGGAGGGACAGATGAAAACATCAGGAAAGAAGAGGAAGATCGGATTAAGAAACCTCATTTAAGGTAAGTGAGGTAAAGTTTTGACTTTAGTGTCACTTTAAAGTACAGGGAAACATGACTCTTCATTTCTCCTACAATGCAGCACTCAATGCTTGAACAGCCAGTTGCCAGGCTTGAGTGCTGCCATTAGGGATGGGGGGTAGTGTCCATATCAGCTCTAGGTTTGTTCAGAGATTTGTGAAAGCAAATGTAAGTGCCAGCTATGCGGCAAACCTGTTGCTTTGGTTTAAAATATAAAAACTTTATTGTTATTCAGGTAAGAAATATCAGATATGATTATTTTCTAAATTTACATTCAACCAGCATGTGATGTTCTTGGCCCCTTTTCACATTTTCCTGTTACTCCTTAACTACCTGTTAGATTTAGATTTATTTGTATCATTGAAATGTACACTCACAAGTAAATTAGTCAGACAAACCCAAGGTTTTAATGAGAGTCAACATAAGAGAAGCATGTGTGCCATTCTCTCTCACTCTTCACTCTCTTTCCTCTCACTTTCAATAAATATATATAGATATATATAGATCTATATATCTATATAGATCTATATATCTAAATATAGATATATATAGATATATAGATCTATATATATCTATATATATAGCATAGAGAGGGTGAGACACTGTGATTGTTGGACAAATGTGAATGAGGCCAAAACAATTTTTTTTGTATGTGTACTTTTTAAAATATATTTAAAGTGTAAATCCGGGATTTTAAAAAGCTAACCCTTGCAGTGGAGGGTTGTAACCCTCCACACTACAAGGATAAACTGCTTGTTTTGGCTAGGGAGCTATACTCACTTAATCCTCGGTCCAATCTGGCTGCGACTACTCGTCCCCACAGCCTCTTCTCCCTGGGCTCTGGCGGTCTAAGGATCCATGACACCATCATGTCGAATACAGTGTATTGGATGTGAAGACGCTGAGAAACATACAACAGCCGGAGCGGAGGGGGAAAGAGGTGAGCGATTATTGCCAGAGGACCGAAGATCGAGTGAGTATTTTTCCTTTATTATCGGCGCAAGAGAAAAATGAGCAGGTAACCCTTGCAGTGTGGGGGTAGCCCTACTGAAAGGATTAACTTTTAAACATTCTGGAGTTGTTCTTTCAAATAAATAATTTGAAAGAAAGTGATATTGCATATTCAGTATATCACATATATCAATCTATCTAAAAAAATGTAATACCACACAGGCATGCATTATCTACCGTGCATGGCCATTACTAATAACAGATGGTGGGAGAAAAAGTATTTCCTACTAATGCATGATACTGTAGATTTCCCCTGCATAGCTTTTTGGAATCTACTTCTATGGGTTGCACACCTTGGCCCTAGAAAATTTGTCAGAATGAATGCATGAGGATGCTTGATATGCGTGTTTTGCTTTTGACATCAGTTTGAGATCCTTCTGAGATTATTTAGAATTTATTGCAGGTGCAGTTGACCTGCATTTTACATTCTTTCGCTGCTTTTGCATTTACATAGACCAGGGGTAGTCAAACTTCAGCCCTCTAGCTGTGGTGAACCTACAAATCCCATCATATATCTGCCTCTGGAAGTCATGCCTGTGGATACCCCTGGCATAGACCATAGTATGCTTTTTGGTGTTTTAAATATTTATTGACTCTCGGAGTGCTGGCAGTTCCATTCTAATTGCTAAGAGTTCGGATGTTTGTGCAAGAAAATATGTGAAGTTAACATACCAAAAGATTTTAGTTATTACAATTGTATTTTTTTATATATACATTACTGAGTTCCGGTGTATTTTTCTTATATTTGCCTGAAGGTTATCATCAAATAAGCCCACCATTATTCTGTATGCATATAGTTATATGGTTTTTTAAAACTGCCAAAGCAGTCACATTGCCAATTTCACAGTAAATTAAAATAATATGAATAACATAAAAAGTCTGTAACTAATACCCTTTTTTTTATTTATAGAACGACATGGCCTAAAAGAACCAAAGAAGGTAAATGAACTACATAACAAAATAATGTGTTGTTTAAAAGATCACTTAGCTTTAAATATTCAAAGTAAAGGACAACAACTAGATACTGCCACAGCATTAAGTGTTCTAACAGATCTGCGTGCTCTTTGTACATTGGGACTTCAACGCATATTTTACTTGAAGCTGGAAGATTTGGTACCGCCACCTCCTGTAATTGAAAAGTTATTTCTAGACACTTTGCCTTTTTGAAGATGGTGAAACAGCGCCGATCCACCATATCATGAACCACAAGAATTTTAGTGATCTTAAAATATTTTAGTGAAACACACTGAATTATCTGTTTGTATTGTTCAAAGTAGGTTAAACCTGATTGAAAATAAAGTAGTATTCATGAAAAATAGGTGCTAGAAAGTATGCGCCATAAGATGCCAGACTTTAAAGTAGACCTGAACTAAAACATTGAAGATTTGCCATGTTATAGGGAACATTTACAAATATTAATTGCAGCTAAGCAGTAAGGCTAAAAACTACCTTTTGCCTCGGATTTCTACTGAAATGTAGCTATGGGGCTGTAGACACTTTTGTACCTGCAGCCTCATAGCTGTATATCTGATGTGTGAGATCTAAGACACCACTCCTGTTGACCGTAAATCTCATGAGATTGGGAGTGAAATTTGATATTGTCATCACTGTGCCACTCAATTTTTCCTTGCTGGAGGCTTTGACAAGAGGAAGCAAAGCCCTGCCTCTACCAAGATAGCTGCCACAGAGACATGGTGCAGAACAAGGTGTAAGGGGAGATCAGCTGCTGAAAGACCACATGCAATACTGGTGTCTAGTCCTTTGCCCTCTGCCCACTTTTTTGGGGCACAGCATCCAGAGTTTAATTCCTATTCATCTGTCTTATTATATAATAAATAAAAAACTCACAAAATACTCTGGCCCAGTATGACAGCAGTTGGCACCTGAGCAATCTAACGGCAGTCTTGAGCACAATCAAATGGCTGGATTGCCTAAGTTTATGCAAATTGCAACTTTCAAAAAGTTGATATCTGCATAAGAAATGTTAAAGGCTCTGGCCACACTGCGAGAAGTCTTATTCTAACAAGACAGGTATAGTCTGGTACCCTATAGTGCATGCTCTCTGGCTCTTAGTTTAGTTTAATATTTTTGCCAGCACAGATACACTTTAGGGATGCATTTATAATTACTTATATCATTACAGTAGTACTTTGTTATTTCTAAGAGTTAATGTTTCATACTATGAACTAAACTTAGTCATTAATTATACAGTTAAATGCAGATATTGTACATAGACTGAGCCTAAATAATGTAACAAAAACCATGTCTAATAATAAAATATAAAATTCATAGTGATCAAACAAAGGTATAAATATAATAAATATACATAAATTAAATATTAATGAAATATATTATACAAAAACACCCCCATTTTTCCCAGTACAAATAAATAACTGGGGATTAAAAATTAAATAATGGAATTGTTTTGTTTCACAAAATCTATTCTAAATGTTTGACCCATCAAAGTAGCCATCAACAACTGAACACACTTGTATTGACTCTCAAAAACTTGTCTTCTAATTCTGTAGTGGCTTTGGGTCTGCCAGACATGTTCCTTTCAGAGTTTTCTCCAGTTTCCAAGTGCCTTTTGGAGGAACAGGAAACAGTACTCAATGGCACCTTGGCTTTCTTTTGACAATTTCTGTAAGGGCCCATTCAGCTTTACAAAGCAGTAACGCAAATATGCATATCTCCAACTGCAAGGTATGTTGTGGTGTCATTCATTGTGAATGGCAGCCTGAGCCACTATACAGTAGCTAGCAATGAATCCACAATGCACATGCTGTGCGTTGTGCACTGTGTTGAAAAAAAAGGGTCACATGTGCTTTGGAGTTAGTTGTGCCGCGTTGGAAGCCCATTTGAATTGACTGACTGAAGCAGAACTAAACATACTGATTTAACTGTTTCCAAAAACAGCTACATTGAAGGCATGACTCAGGTGATAACTTCACAGTTGCTAGTGTATTTTTATAAAGCAGCGAAGGTGACTTTCACTAAACATTCATTCATTCTATATATGTCCCAATGGTCCACATGTCTTCCTTTGTTAAATGCCTGTCTAATACAAACAGAGGGTTTGTAAGTAATCAACAAAATTTGGTACACCTGTAGGAATTGTTTGCACTGAATCCTAAAGGTGCCCATACACCTTACGACCATCGCAAGACTTCTGTCTTGCGATGGTCGTAAGCTTATTAAAAGCTCGTACGATCTGCCCATCTTGGACAGGCAGATCGTACTTGCAATCATCGAAAGCCCGTCCCGCTGAGGGGCGGGCTTCCAATGACCGCAATGAGGGGCGGGCTTCCGATCACTGCAAACGGGAAGTGTGCGCGGGCGCACACTGGCCCGTTCGGCAGTTGTCGAACAAGCAGGCCACTAACCCACCGGCTTAGTGGCCTGCTTGTTCGACGGTCGCTTGCTTGTTCGACGGTCGCATACCTTCCATACACTGCACGATTATCCTACGATCGTGGGATTTCCCACGATTCTCGTACGAGAATCGTGCAGTGTATGGGCACCTTTAGGCTTACATGATAATTTACATGATCTTTTAGTTTTTGGTAACCTTAAAGAAAATGTCTTATTATTTTTCACAGCGCAATCACCTAACTCCCACAGTATATGTTGCTTTTCATCCCATGCTTCTGTGTGTAGTAGAAAAAAAAGTTACTAACTTTAACAGTTCACTGCTCTTCAGGAACTGTTCACACATCATCCAGTGTGTGCAGGCACGGTTCTGTGACCTGAACTTACTGGATCGTATAAACATAGCCACCCATGGGTTGGGAGGGGGCGTTGTGGTGCCATTCATGTCAATGGCACCGCAGACATGCCTCTCGCCCGCAGTGCAATCGCCCGCACCAGAACGCCTGGCATTGCAATGCCCTGCATTCTGATGCGGTGCGATCACAAAAAATAGTGCATGCACCATCTTGCCTCCTCCCGCCCCAGAAAGCAGGAGGCTATGTTTATGTGATCCAGTGCATTCAGGGCAAGGTACTGTGCCTAAACGCATTGGATGAGGTGTGAAAGGGCACTTATTCCTGTCTCTGCACTTTCCCAACACAGTGCAAGGCTCCCCTTCCAGTTCTAGTGCAAGTGCCCCCTCTCTCTGCATTTCTGTGGCCATGCTTGTGTCTGGAATGTGCAGGTACTGTGGGATAAGAGCTGTTAATCAAGAGTTTGTCTCCTTTGCATGGTCATGGTCAGGTATGAAGAGGAGTAAACTGTCAAAGTCTGTATCTCAGTTTCTACTTTACACAGAAGCATGGGGTAAAAAACAACATATACTGTGTGAGTTAGGTGAACTGTGTAACACAATACAAGGTTCTTTCACCTTTTTTTTATGTCTGGCAGTTCACAGTTTACCCTGATACCATTTCAAGGCATCCACTGCACTTCACTGCTTAAATTTCTATTAAGAAAAAACGGCAGTTTAAAACTTTTGACTGATACTGTATACACACGTGCACACACAACTATAAATGTATCAATGTGTATGTGTGTGTGTGTGTGCCTGTGTCCTGCACACTGCCTTATATTTTTTTATAAAATGTAAAAGTGACAAAACTGAAATAGAAATAAGACTAATATCAAATTGTATCACATCTGAACTATAAAAGCACTATAAACTATACTGTGAGCGTGCTTATTTTCATAAATGCTTCTACTGTTGTTATAACATAAATGTATATTTTTAATGTGCAATGTCATGACTGTCTACCTGTTCATACAAATAAAACATTTTCTCAGTGTTTATATTTTTAATTTGATGATTACTAACTCATAACAATAGCTAGGGACTTAAATATAGTTATATTTACCTGCCAGTGATCATTGTTGTCTTTAAAAGGATTTTGCATGTTATTTGTAGACTAGCCATTGATTTACTGATACCACTCCTAAGTAAAAATATGTATACTTTTTACTAATCACATAGTACATACACACTTTTTAAACCCGACTATTTATAGTGTGTTGTTGATTACTCGTTTTGGTACTTTTACTTATTTCTCATATTTTGCTAAAGTTGTTTCATACTTGGAAATTTTAAAGAAAAATGTTTTTTTTTTACCCGCACTTAATGTTGAATGATTGTGCATTAAACATTTTGAATGTGATATCAATGTTTGTGTACTGTTTGTTAGATTTTGAATGTGTTGTTTTGATATTTTTATTGCAGATTTGATTATTTAAATTATATGCAATATTATGTAATGTAGTGATGGATGCAGATTTTATGTTTTCCTAAAAGTATTAATATTTGATCAATAGTAATTGTTAATTAAAGTATTTTTATAGACTTGGTTATTGTTTGGTGTCTTAGTTCTACAAAAAAAAGGTGCCTATCATGCTAAAATATGAATGTATAAAAAATGTTAGGAAATTTGTTTTTAAAAAAAGCTTGTAATCAATGTAAAGGGATAATGTCATGGATGTTTACCATAGGAGATGCAACATGCCATTGCTATGAATAGAAAAGTTCAAAGAGTTTTTACCCCATGTGTGGCGCTCGACAAAGGTGGGGTTAGTGGTGGTACTTGGTGGGTACCCTGTTCGTGACTGGAGCGTGGGGAAATTTTTATGTGGAGAGTTTGAGGGAGGGGGGCGAGGGGGTGTGAGTTGGGGGTTTAATTTTGTAGAAAAATAGTAGAAGCGTCTTTATTGCTCTGCGGGTGTGCAGCTTCCGTGGTGTTCGGACCGTGGTGTCCAACAGGTGTGCTAAAGGAAACAAAAATTGGAGAACGGAAGGTAGTGGCGCTTTCGTTCTCCAATTTTTGCTATGAATAGAATACAGTGAATATGATTTAAACAACCAAAAGGGAAGTATAGGGATTGCAGTGTTTTATTAATCGGTTGAAAGATGATGTTAGTTACCTGTAAAGCATATAGAGGGGTATAACCTGTTTAGGGGTAGTTAGCAGCACTCAGCTAAGAGAGATGAAGGCAGGTTTTCCTTTGACATGTTTCGTTCAATGACATGTTTCGTTCAATGCCGCCCGGAATGGCGGCGTTCACCTAATGGTGTCCCCCAGGGAAAAATTTGAAGGAGACAAAGAGGAGGCTATCTAAGTGCAGTAACACAAAAAATATTTATTTCATAAAAGAACTCAAATGCACTTACGGAAACAACGAAAAAAATCGAGCTTTTGAGCGTTAGCAGCACTCAGCTAAGAGAGATGAAGGCAGGTTTTCCTTTGACATGTT